CAGACTGGAGAATTAAAATCTTTATGTGCTACAAATTCAAGTATGTACTCAAACTGAGTTCAAGAGGTTGCTTCTGAGAAATGAGAAGTGGTAACGGAAGCAAGTAATACGTAAGACAAACTGAAACAAAACAAGCAAGGGCTCATTTTAAAGTCACCAACTCCCAAAAATTATTAACTGTTTTCCAAGACAAAATTGAGGAAGTCGGGGGATCAGGATTAAATAGTTACAGTTACCTATACATTTTACTGCTCTAGTATATTTCCTTTTTGTTTCTGATCATTATGATGGCAAATGAATAATGTGACTACGGAAATATATGTGAATATGATGGACTCTCCTAACTAGGCTGTTTATGACAGGGTTTAAAATGTGCAGTGTAATTAAGATCCCAAAATAGTTAATGATGGATTAATCAAATGAGACTCTTCTGGGTGTGCCAACCTGATCAGGTGAGCCCCTAAAGGGCATAGGGCCCTTCCTAAAATAAGAGATCTGAAGTATGAGAGAAATTCTCCAATGAAGAAATAAGCTGCTATGCTATAAGAGGATGGGGTTAACTGTTAAGGACCTGAGGGTGGCCCCTAGGAACTGAGAATGGTCCCCATCTGACAGGAAGAACACAGGACCATTGTCATACAACCACAAGGAAATGAATTCTGACAACAATCATGAGCTTGGAAGACAATGAGCCTCAGATAAGATCGCACCCCTGGGGCGCCTGGGTGGCTCAGGTGGTTAAGCGACTGCCTTCGGCTCAGGTCATGATCCTGGAGTCCCGGGATCGAGTCCCACATCAGGCTCCCTGCTCAGCAGGGAGTCTGCTTCTCCCTCTGACCCTCCTCCCTCTCATGTTCTCTGTCTCTCATTCTCTCTCTCACAAATAAATAAAATCTCAAAAAAAAATTAAAAAAAAAATAATAATAAAATAAAAAATAAATAAAAAGATTCTATCATTTCAATCTCAGTGCCTTGTAGATGATGTATATATTCAATGTTTGTCTGTTGCATAACTAAATGAACAAATAAAGGAAGAAACAATCCAAGGGAACTTCAACAGCCAATCTCTGAATTTTATATATAGTTTCAAAATGAGAGGCTAGCACAGATCTCAGGGGTGAGGAAGAGAAGTACTGAGGGTCGATATGAATAAGGGTTGATATGCTATACCCATATTGGTGCCCAGCACCATGCAGTTACTTTAAAAGATACAAAAGAAATGAAATATCTTTTTTTTTTTCAGTTTGAGGCTAAAAAACAGTACAAACTTTAGTACCAAAACATTTCTACTCGGAAATATATTTTCCTTTGTTTTTGTTTTATCTAAACTTTGCTTTTCCCCTTTCAGCTTCCTCCCTTAATTCACACTTAATAGTACTGCAACAGCACTCAAAACCATACAGCCCATACCACAAGCTCCCTCCACAAAGCAGCACATACAACCCTCCCTGCTTTCTCAGAAGCACCATGTTTATATGACCAGATACCACATTTATTAACAGCTTGCTGAAGTCAGTTTTTACAACTACAAATAAATCCCTGGGTACAAAGGAAGTACCATCCTAGATTCTCAGACTCTACATGATGGATTCCTATGGGGCTTAGTTCATGGACTCATTAAATGGCCTGACAGGCATGGGGGCAATATCACAGAAAAACAGAAGAACTCTTTGCCACTGTTTTCTTTAAGTTTATTGCTTTGTATTTTGCCACAACAATGTGAAATATTTATGTTTCAGAAGGGCAAGAAATTTATCATTTTTTTTAAAGGATAAAAGAAATTTTATCCTTTTAAATTTAAGAATTTAAATTTAAGAAATTAAATTACTGTCTTATATAAACAGGTCAATCTTTAGGCCCTTACTCTTATTTAAAATAAGAAAATAATAAGGGCAGTTACATTTACTGGCAACACTAAAAAATACCAGCTAAGAGAAGACAGAAAAACTATAAAAATCAGACACAAAAGCTGTAAAGATAAAGCAATTTGGAGCCATTTAATATCAGGGTAACAGCCATATCAAGCTTAAGAGCCACTCATGACATCTTTTTATCAGAGTACAACTAGTACAATTAGTATTCAAACTATCTCTCCTTAGATATTCCCTTAAATGCACTAGCGCTCCTTAACTATCTTAGATATACAATACTCATACTTTGTCTCAGGTTTATTTTTTTAACCTAGTCTCATCCCCACAATGAAATTAAATCTCTCTGAAAACAAAGGTCATGCCCTCTTTGGTTCAGTATACCAGGAGATTGGGACCATAACAAGTGATCAGAAACAACTTGAATGAATGTTCAATCTATTACTGAAGACCAAAAAACAGATATAAATAATGTAATTCTTAGTGATATGTTAAAATCAGTTGTTTACACACTGACTGCCATGAAAGAGGAAGAAATGTTTTAAACTTGCTAGAATATAAATTTTTTTTAAAGATTTTATTTATTTATTTGAGAGAGAGAGACAGTGACAGAGATAGCAAGAGAGAGCACAAGCTGGGAGGAGAGGGAGAAGCAGGCTTCCTGTGGAGCAGGGAGCCCGATGCGGGGCCTCAATCCCAGGACCCTGGTATCATAACCTGAGCTGAAGGCAGATGCTTAACCAACTGAGCCACCCAGGTGCCCCTAGAATATAAATTTTTAAAAAAATTATTATTTTGCTTATAAATGAATAGGTGGAATACATTTTCCATTGGGTTAAATGTGATTTTTGTGACCTTTTCTAAATCTTCATTATATGAATAATATAAACTCAAGAATACACAATCTTCTATCTTGAAATTTCCATTCTCAGCCTACAAAAAATGTAAAAACTTGTAGAATGAATTTCTCTATAAACCTTACCAATATTCATCAAATGTTAACATTTTGCCATGATTGTTCTCGCTACACAGACAGACAGACACACACACACATACACTCAGCTGCCAGGTTTCACTGAACCATTTAAAATTATTTATTATTATCTGAAAATGAGTTACAGGTATCATTAAATTGATCCCTAAATATTTTATCCCAATACATATCTCTTAATGAATAAAGAAATTCTCTTAACTGAACATAATACTATTATCACACCTGGGGGGGGGATTCCATAGCAACAGGTATCTTCTAAAGATAAAACTGTTTTCCTATACATTACTAGATAATTTCCAAATTGTTGTCAAGAAGGAAAAAAATTCTATAAATATAATTAAAAACAACAAAAATGTTTAGGATTTTTTAAAAGGAGGTCTAATGTGAAGGAAGCAAAACATAAGAGTCTCTTTATAACTACAGAAAACAAACTGAGGGTTGCTGGAGGGGAGAGGGTGGGAGATGGGTTAAATGGGTGATGGAAAATTAAGGACGGCACTTGTGATGAGCACTAGATGTTATATGTAAGTGATGAATCACTAAATTCTACTCCTGAAACCAATATTACACTGTATGCTAACTAACTAGAATTTAAATAAAAAATTGAAGGAGGGGCGCCTGGGTGGCTCAGTTGGTTAAGCAACTGCCTTCGGCTCAGGTCATGATCCTGGAGTCCCGGGATCAAGTCCCACATCAGGCTCCCTGCTCAGCAGGGAGTCTGCTTCTCCCTCTGACCCTCCTCCCTCTCATGCTCTCTGTCTCTCATTCTCTCTTTCGCAAATAAATAAAATCTTTAAAAAAAAAAAATTAAAAAAAAAAACACCTGAAGGAAAAAAAAGGATATGTAAGTAAAGCCATATGTTTTATAAACTACATTAAAACGATTTCTTAAAATTTCATATGAAAATATATTACTTATGTTTTACAGTCAGTCCTTTTCCCCCCCATAATACTACAACTAAACTTAATTTTATGGACATTATAAGTATCATTCTCAAAACTATCAATTTTTATCATTCTTTCAAAAGATTTCCTATCCTATATCCAATGCAGCCCAAACTCTATATACAAGGTATCTTTGTTTCAAAATATACATTAATGATACTTTAAACACTTTTAATAAGACTTTTTTCATGAACAAAAACAATGTATTAAAATATTCTTACTTTGTTAGTATTTTATTAATTTTTTTAGTATATTGCTTCTCCACAGACTGAAAAGAAAACCCAGTTTGTATACAAAATGAGATGAAATTACTGTCTCCAAATTGCTGGACATACTACTTAACCACAAGACTAACTATTTACAGCATGGCTTATCAATCTAGGAATCAAAGCCCCTCCCCCCCCCAAACACAACTATAATAGTAAAGACCATTAGCTTTAAACTGTAATTAACTGGAATGAGAAAAATCAATCAGAAAAAAAACTAAAAAGAAACAGATATAACTGATCACTACAATGAGGTCTCAACTATTAGGTATCAAAATGCTTGCTAATAACCAATTAAAATGCCATGTCTTAATATATATCAGTCTGGATACATCCACTAAAGCCCTTAGGAGAGGATAAATTGCCTTGTTTCTTTTTCACCCATTTCCAGAATTGAGTGAAATATTTTCCCTCCCTCCCAATTAGTGACTTTATCTTTTTGCAAATTTCATAAATTAACTTAACAAATGGCATTTAATAGCAATTAGACTCTTACTTAGAACACATTCTTTTCTGAATCAAGAGTTCTGCTTTGTGAGAGCTCATAAATATGTGAAAAAAAAATTCCAATATTCAAATTTTTAAAAGTATGTAACTAAATATATTTTTACAATAAAAAAAAATTAAGCTGCTTTGTATGTTAAAGCAGCCTGGGGGAGCCTGGATGGCTTGGTTGGTTAAGCATCTGACTAATAATTTGGCTCAGGTCATGATCTCATGGGTCGTGAAATGGGAGCCCTGAGTCAGGCTCTGCACTCAGTAGGGAGTCTGCTTGAGATTCTCTCCCTCTGCCCCTCCCCCCATTCTCTGTCTCTCTCTCTCTCTCTCTCTCTCTCTCTCTCTCTCAAATAGATAAATCTTAAAAAAAAAAGTCTGAGATCTATTCAACAAATATCAATCGGTGAAAGAAATGAAGATTTTACTTACATTTGTAATAGCTATTGCATTTTTATCATAGTATTTCTTCTTTTCATATTTATCTCTGATGAAAAATTCCACTGCTCTGAAAATAGATAACTTAAGGAAAAGCATGAGTTCAGTGACAATGTACACTCCCCTTTATTCATTCCTTTCCACAACGCCTACACTCTATAGTCAATTTTCCTCCTTCCCAGTCTGTGCTTTCCTCTCACACTATTTCTGCAACTAAATTCTGTAACCTTTCTTTCTGCCACAGAAAGTCTCTTTCAGGGAGTTCTCCCCATTCAACAAAACCACCTAAACCAATTCTAGAACGAAAAGTAACCACATTTCTCAATTCCACCACACTCCCCAAATCTCCACCTCCAACCAAACTCTTTCATTTTAAATTCTCAGTGTAAGGAAACTAATAGCCATGCGGTACCCACAACGTACCAAACGCTGTATGCTATGTGTTGTCGATAGTTTGTTTCTTTTAATCCTTCCACAACCCAGTAATATATATACTATTTCCACATCACAGATAAGTAATTAGCAATTCAGAAAAATTTAACAATTGTGATTCCAATACTTCTGTTCTTTCCCACAATACATGGCTTCCCCTGGTTGCATCACAGAGGATTCCCCGTGTTTTAGAAGAATGGAGGCCTTTTTTTTTTTTTTCCTTTCAAAGCTGAGGAATGGAGAAGTCAAGAAGCTACAACCAAAGTCAGTACTATTTAATTTTTTGGAGTTGGTTGGACTAGCCTTATACGTTGACAGAGTGAGCCATTTCTAGTGGGATTTGAGAGTTTTGAGTTATCTGATATTGAAGACTTCTCTTACCACTCAATCACTACTTTATCGTATTTCACTAAAATGGGAATTTTTCCATTTAGCACCATGATCCCCTTTGGTAGTCAGGCAAAGCCTATGAACTCCTTCCTGGGACAATGCTTTTAAATGCGTAAAATAAAATACACAGAATTACAAAGGAAATGTGAATTATACTGAAATACAATCTCTCTGTAGATCCCCATTAAGATATCCTTCTGTTCAAAAGAACAGTTACCTGAAGCAGTAAAGCAATACACTTTCAGTCAAAACTCCTTGTCACAAATTAATAACAGCCTTTTAAATTGACAGTTGAGGCAATAGGTAACAGAAAGAGCTGACACACGAATACACAGTGGATATTAAAAAGTTGGGGTATTATGAAAGCACTCAAAGGGGGCCAGGGAAGGAAATCTAAACATTTAATTTTTTAAGTAAGCTGAATGAAAGCTATTTTTAAAGACAGTTTTCTACAACGTGAGTATGTGAAGGGCACTTTATGTGATCTTTATCTCCTTTTTTCCTCTTAAACAACCTATAAGGTAGGTACCATTTCACAACCAAAAGTGAGGCACAGGAAGTTTAAAAAGTCTGGGATTCTACAGTACAAGGAAGAGTTGTGATTCAAAACCAGGAATGTTTAGCATCAGTGTTTTCAGAATGTTCCTGATCATCACCAGTTTATCTGTGAGTCAGTTATTTTATGCTAATGATAATAAATACTTTAAAATCTAGAAAAGAATGTTAAATTTGGAGGGTATTTTCAAAGTACCCTTGGAGACCCTTTTAAAGTGAAAGGCCCCAAATCTGCCATCAGGCTGCTTATTTAGGTATGTGAAAATTTTCGCAGCCAATTCAATACCAAAAAGTTACCACAAATATGCCAATATTTCCATAAAATGCTATAATGTTACTTTACTCAAACTTGTAAATAAGCTAAATGTTAAGTTTGCTCATGATTATAAATCCAAGTTCAATATTACATTTTTCTATTTTTTTAACAGAAAAAAATGAAACAAAAAAAGTTGGCCTGTTAGATTAGGTGTACGCATATGGATATATTGAGCAATTTTCATTGTAGAGACAACTATTTACCTCCACAAAAAGGGAAAGAAAATAGACTTCACTTAGCCTGATGTCATTTTCACTTCAGATGATATGGAATATATTTATTATTTGTACATATATGTTTGTAAATTTGTGTATTTTAGCAGCAATTATATTTACAGTTATATAACATACAATATAGCATACATATACAGCTATTTTTTTAACTACAGAAAATTTTTAGAAATCTGAATTCTTAAATTATAATTTTTATGATTAAATATCAGAGAAAGTAATACTGACATCTTTCCTTCTTAAAGATAGAAACAATATTCATTTTAGATATTGTTTAGAGTATACTACACCTTAAAGCTTGAAAAGATTTACTACTCTCATCTATGAAATGTTTATGATGAAAAATGATCACTGTTTGATTTTAAAAATTACTCTTAGAAAACTCATTAAAGTTAGAAATAGAATATATAAAATAATTTAACCAATAGTAAAGCTAAAATACTGAAAACTCTGATGTTTTATAAATACTGAATTTGAAAAAGGCAAACATTTTAAGTATGCCATATTTTTGAGTGAAAAACAATACAAACATCTGGTGAAATCACATGTTGCTGTGAATTTTCAGAAATAACAGATATAAGTGAAATCTTAATTCATACTTAATGTATTTTATATAAATAATTCAAATATAGCTGGATCTGGTTCTGCTCATGATACAAAACCCTCTCAGAAATTATCTAAAAAGTAAACAATTTCTAAAATTCTGAGACAAAAGTTGATGTTTTCCAAGGATATTAAAATAAGATAAAATAAAATAAATCATTAGGGCAAGAGAACTTACTTGGATCTTCCTATTGTTAACATAAAACAATACTTTTCAAAAACCAATCAAAGCACACCACAGAGTACATTTTTTAAGTTCCATGGGAGTCATCTGAAAAAGGACGGTGATTTAGGGAACATGCTATATTCTTGATTGCTCTCAGTTCCTACGTACTCTTAGAGCAAGAACATATCACACAGTCTTTATGTATATTTGTACAAGGTCCCAAATGCAAGCCAATTTGTCATTGTTAATTCACCTAAAGAAACAATGATTTATTGCCATGATCAGCAAATTTTTTTTAGAGGGCCAGAAGGTAAATATTTTAGGCTTTGAAGGATAGATGGTCTGTGTTGCAACTACTCAACTCTGCCTTTGTAGCTCCAAAGCAGCCTTGAAAATACATAAATGAATGGTCATGGCTGTGTTCTAGTAAACTTTATTTACAAAAACAGGAACTGGCTCATAGGCCTGTAGTTACTGATTCCTGAATTGTATCCCAATTTTGCCCAAGAGGGCAAAAAACAGTCAAGTTGGATTTACAGATCATCTCTATGTCTACAATCTGTCACTACAGACAACTTAAGGAATTTTCAATGGACATTCTGATAACAGTTTTGCATTATATGCTGACTCTAGTACTGATTTTCGAAGAAGATGGTCTCCCAACGTACACCCTCACATTTTCTGGTACCAGTAGGCACTTGTTATTTAACTGGCAGTTATTGTTACCCTGAAGTCAGCTAATCTGCTGAACCCATACCTAGATACATAAAAAAAGATAATCCTACTCAACTCACAAAGTTGTTAAGAGTTATGGGAATAATACATATAAAGCCTTTAGCACAGCACCTAACAGACAATAAGCATTCAATAAATGGAGTTAGCTTGCTTTTGCTTTTATATAACTTTGTATCTCAGTTTCCTCTCCTTTAAAATAGAGATAACATTAAGACCCATCTCACAGGATTATTGTAAGAATTAAATAAGCTAGTGTGTGTAAAGAACTAAGAACAGTGTGTGGCACGTAGTGAGTGCTATTTAATTTTTAGCTCTTATTACCATGGTAGATGGAGGTAATGGACGGGAACTACCATGTTCAGGGTTAAGATGGCTTGCATATCATCAAGTTTAAATAGATGAGCAACTGATAAAAACAAAAGAACCAATGAATTTGGAGATCAGTCAATATTCATCTTCATTCTCTAGTTTCTAGGCGTCATTTGAGACATAAGGATTTTTTTACTGACAGACATCAATAATACAACCAAAAAATTAGAATAATAATTTCAGGAAATCAAGGTAAGGAAATATTAATAACAATTCAAGTTTATGTGGCTGATTTGGCATTTAGTAAACAAACAAAAACAAACACCCCAGAATCTTCCCCATGCCTACAGTTACAAAACATTCAACACAGTACCCTGAACTGTCCCTGTCCTCAAAACTAACAAATGATACTATACAAGCCCCCCAAAAGTTTAACATTACTTTGTATTTTATCTTTTAACATGTATTTATTTATAATTTGAGATTTTTTTCCCTTTTCTTAAAGATACCATTTTAAAGACAATTAAATTAATATTTAGTCCCGAGAACAAAATCTTCCAATTCCAGACACATTACCACTGACAGCAATAAAATCCTGAAAAGCTCAAAGGAGAAAAACTGCTGATTAGCTTTGGTGCACAACAGACCTCATGGAACTGAAGTAATTAAAGTTTTTAGATAAGATGAAATACCCTAATAATGAAAAGCTTAATGTAAAGCTTTATCATTTGTCATGCACTAGTACATGCAGCCTATAATTAAACACATCCCACATGAGAAATTATACTTTCACAGCAGCTTTTGCATAACTTTGTAAATTGTAAAGCTTTTAAAAAGTGACAAATCTTGTTAAGAATGCAGTGAGGCCCCATATTATGTGAGTTTTACTCAGTTTGGTTCCACTTGCCTCTGGGGATGAGGCAACAATATTTAAATCAATAAAAATGCAGAGATGTTAGGCTTTTCAAAGAGCAATGAAATTTAGAATGATTCATGAAATAAAGGGGACTAGTTTTCTTACTAGTTTCCCTCATAAAACCTCCAAATCACAATGTTTCATAATTAAAAGAAGGGAATAAAGTGATATTGCTGTAATATTTAAGGTAAAACAATTTTTAAAGGCCATAGTATTATATTAGATATAGGGGCTGATCTCATGGTCTGGGACATGGCCTTTTATACTCTATAGTCCTCTATCTCAAATTTGTTTAGACAAAATCCCTCTTTATTTTCTGACAACCATTAGATTATCTATTTATGAACAGTAAGAGATCAAAACCTCATATAAATATGATCATAATTTGTAAACACTTTAGAAGTAACACTTAGTTTGAAAAATCAAATATGCATGTTTGAGTAAACAATAGCAAAAATATACATAATCCAAAAGCCTGAAATGAATTACATCAGGTACTTAAAAGTTGTAATCTACACCTAGACCTTATGATCTAGCGCAGAGTTCCCAACCATAAGCCTATCTATTTTTAAAGGCCATCAAGACTCAAAGTGGCAACACTGATTTTACTCAGACTATCATTAAAAAATATTCAAGTGCCCTTTTACAGAAGGAAAAGTCTGGAAGCTTTGAGAAGTTTCTTAATAACTCTTTGAGCATCCCATCCTTCCCAACCCCCAAAATGAAAATATTATGCTCTAGTTCATTGGGTTATTTGGATAATCTAAAAAGATAATGAAGATAAAAGGCCAAGCTCAGTGCTTGGCACCCAGCAAACCTTTTTTAAGCAATAAGACTACTTTAGCTGCTGTATCTTCAGTGTGTTAAAGGTCAAGGATGTAATCCTACCCAATGCCAATCAATTCACTATAAAAATCTTCTCTTCCCTGAAATGTTTAGGTAAATATTTATAATATTTAAATATAAATACTTAAATATTAAAAATATATCAGCAAAAATATCAGAATAACTCACTACCTCATTAATCCTTTACTTCTATAAGGATCATCATAAAATTAATGGTAATTACTTAAATAATATTCCTACCAACATACACGAAATAGTGCACAGAACATAGTTCAATGTAAGAAGATACCAAGAAGCTAATATACAGTCCTTTCCTGAATATCTTCCAGGCTTCTTTGAAAACAATATGGAATCATGACGATGTATTAAATAACTCGGAAGCCACTTTCACCCACAAGGAACTAAATAAAGGATACTACCGAAAACTACCCTGCAGTATTCAAAAAAAATCCAAAAAAACTCAACTCAAACCAAACCAACCCCAACACACGTACAAACTTCCACAAAAAGGAGATTCTTCCAGTTGAGGGATCTTATATGTCAACTCAGGCTTGGGGGTGAGAACCAGAGAGAAGAGAATAAATACAACTAGCAAGCAATTGGTAAAAACCACCCAGGACATTACTTGTTTGCTCTGCTATATTTCCTTCTACTATGCTCTATTTTCCAGGGTTCTGCCCTAGGCCTTCACTTTTCAGAGGAGAAAGAAAACAGCATTCCCAAGTTTCTCAATAAAACACACAAAAAAGAATAAAGGACTATTGCCCTGAGTAAACAAACTTCAATCATCTACATGCTATCTACATGCTATCATCTACATGCTAAATCACTCCATAATCTGCACTGTATTTCCTGCTTTCTTCTAAGGTCCAGACCCATGTTTCTAGCTACTGAATTGGGATCTCCATGTATATGTCCAACAGACACCTCAACCTGCCCAAAGCAATGAAGTATGGCTCATTACCTTTCATTTCTGACCCTTCAACCTTTATCTGGTACTGAATTTCTTCTCTCAGGGAATATGCTTTATTTATCTCACCCATAGAACCTCCACCAAGCTTTAAAATTTGGGGTCATCTCAGTATCTTTCCTCAGAAACACGGCCAATCTCAACCTAATCCAATTGCTCCTGCTTTCCCAATTTCTTTCCAATATTCCCAATTCTTTCTTATCCATTCTCAATGCCACTATCTAATTCAATCTAATTATCTAATTTATAACTTCATCATTGCTCATTTCAAGGCTGTACTAGCATTCTACATGGGTCTCTGACTCCAAGGTCTCCTCTGACTAATCTTCCTTATGGTAGAAGTAAATGCTTTTAATGTTTCTCCTGCTTCAAAACCCTTCATGGCTTTTCAAATCCTTCAGCTTCCATGAGCCCATGGAATGAGGTCCACACTGCTTCTATATGGTACCAAAAACCCTTCACAATCTGGAAAATAAGCTTCTTCTGCCACTTGCCCCACTAAACGTGAACCTGTCACATCAAAACCTTAAAATGTCATGTTTCCTCACACATTCATACCTCTACTCACACAATTTGTTATGTCTGAAATGTACCTACCACTTTTACCCTAGGAACTTGCTAAATAAAAACAGCCTTGGATATCAGATTGTTAAATTTTGGGGAAGAAGTGGGGGGAGCAGAAACACAAAAGGCCAAATACAAATACTAACTTCTTAAATATAACTTAAAAGGTTTCTATACAAATATAAAAATATATATAATGGCCTGTATCTCTGTTAAGATCACATTTTTTTTTCCACTGTTTGATCACATGAACTGTTTTAGTATAAAAATAGGTATATATAACTGCTCTTTAAGAAACTACATTTTATTGTCAAAACTGCAAATATCACCGGGGCGCCTGGGTGGCTCAGATGGTTAAGCGTCTGCCTTCGGCTCAGGTCATGATTCCAGGGTCCTGGGATTGAGTCCCACATCGGGCTCCCTGCTCCTTGGGAGCCTGCTTCTCTCTCTCTCTCTCCCTCTCTGTCTCTCATGAATAAATAAATAAAATCTTTAAAAAAAAAAAAAAAAAAAACTGCAAATATCACCTTTGGAGAGAATCACAAATACCTACAATCAATTTGATAATTTTATAGAACAGATCAATTTTGATGAGCTATTTCCTCAAACTTCAATATAAGTTGAGAAACCCTATATAATCAAATGATTTTCTTTAACAAATGTGAAAAACATCTGACTAAAACGCCTGTGAGAAAATATTCTACTTATTCATTACGGCAGATTTGTAAAAGCAAACACGGTTGTGAAACCTGTAACAAAGACGGAATGTCAGCCATAAATATTAGCATAAGTTACTTCAGCAGGTCCACCTGCACTAAATATGTGATCTGCAATTTTAAATGCGTACATGTCAAACTGCTTAACATAATATGATTACTATATAAAGGTGATCAAGAAAATCTCTTTAGAAATGAATTTTAAAATTATTCAAGATGCTCACAAGTCAAATCTCTAATAATACCCTAAAATAATAAACAACATATACTCTCCAATCAAGAGCTGCAGATCAAGAAGAATCAGTCATAATATTTTACACTTAGTAATAATTACATCAAAATACTATGCAAATCATGTATTACTATTAAAAACTGCATACAAAGCACAGCTCAGGGCAAATCAATTTCGATCTTTAATAAATAACAGTATTATAAAGTTCACATCTTCCTAAATACAAACAGTTCAAATACGAAGTATAAAAAATGAGTTAATTCTTTTAAAATCCACAATAAATAAAGTTTAAAGGATACTGATCTGTCTGTGGTCTTCGAAAGTTCTCTGGAAGATTGGCTTCATAGAGTAGTCTTGCTTTAGTATTTCCCATATCTTGCATGCACTAAAATAAAAAGAAAAATCAAGTACTTTCATTATTCATATGAATATTAAAAAGTAATTCCTATATATACATACATATACATACACACACATACACAAATACAAAGTAACATTTATTATTTCCGATATATATTCTTCTCAGAAAAATAAATCACAACTATGAAACTACTCAAGTTCAAAGTAGAAGCATATTTTTAATTCTTCACATTTATTCAACTTATGTAGACCCACAGTTTTCTAATGTCTTTTTCTGTGAAAACAATACCATCTTTATTTATATTCACTACTTCCTAAAAGTAATTCCCTGGTAGTTCATGGCAGTTTTATTACTGTTTTAGATTTGCCACTTGAACAGCACTGCCATTTCCAAGGGTAACAACTCAAGATCAAATTTTCTTTGTTTTGGGTGCCTGGGTGGCTCAGTTGGTTAAGCGACTGCCTTCGGCTCAGGTCCATGATCCTGGAGTCCTGGGATCGAGTCCCGCATCGGGCTCCCTGCTCAGCAGGGGGTCTGCTTCTCCCTCTGACCCTCTTCCCTCTCGTGCTCTCTGTCTCTCATTCTCTCTCTCTCAAATAAATAAATAAAATTTAAAAAAAATTTTTTTCTTTGTTTTGAGTTTCAGAATACTCTTGGGTTTTCATGATTTACAATCAGGATCACAATGGAGAGCAGATAAAAAAGAAACGTGCTAACCTAGAACTCTACAGAAGTGGATTAATTGCTTTGGGGTTAATCTCTTTAAGATTCTGCTGAAAGCTATGGATCCTCTCCCTACAAAAAAATAAAACAAAACAAAAAACATTACCCAATGACCCAAAGCTTCCCTAAAATCTACAAACCCCAAGAATAAGAACTACTCAGGAGGCATAAAATAATCTGATAATCACTTAAACCAGTTTAAGTTTCAGTATCTTCTGTAAGGATTAGCCAAACAGTCCTTCCTGGATAATCTACTACATTAGAAAGTAGCATTTACAAACAAAACATTATTCATTTTACATGAATACATGTTACAAATGAATACATGTAAAATGTTTTACACAGAGTTTAGGTTCCTGAAAATGTTTTAATTGGTAGAAAGATCAGTCTGTATAATTCCTTCTTTTTTCTTCTGATTCCGTAGACACACACCCACACCCCCAAGAAGACAATCCAGGTTTAACAGATAATCAATTGTCCACCTTGAGTTGTAGCCCTGAAGTGTACACAGAACCATCTTCCTTCAAATAAAAAATACAGTGACATGGGGCGCCTGGGTGGTTCAATCAGTTAAGCATCTGACTCTTGATTTCAACCCAGGTCATGATCTCAGGGTCTGCCTTGGGCTCCGCTCTGCATTGGGCTCCACGCTCAGTGTGGAGTCTGCTTGTCCCTCTCCCCCTGCACACTCTCGCACACGTGTTCTTTCTCTCTCTCTCTCTCAAATAAATAAATAAATAAAACCTTTTAAAAAAAATACAATGACCCTTTTTTCTCCCAACTGAGAGTTTTAAGGTATGCAAAATACTAATATACTCTCATTTCTGGATATCTATTCTAACCCACCTCAACATAAGTACTCTTTCAGAGTAAATGAGATCATAAGGAAGGGAAGTAATAGGGGGCTGGGAAATATAAGGAAGAGTAAACTGAAAAAGAATGAAACAGTTTTTGTTATTTAGCTTTGGAGACAAAACAGAAGCTAAGGCAAAATATATCCCAGGGGTATATAAGCTGAGGGGGAAAACCTGTGTAAGGTGAACTGACAGTATAAGGTCAGAGGGCTCTATTACATCATGACACATACTAGCATACATATGAGTAGAGCTAATTTGTAATTCTGTGTGTGGGGAGAAGAGCTTAGAAACTTTCAGTATAGGGCGCCTGGGTGGCTCAGTTGGTTAAGCGACTGCCTTCGACTCAGGTCATGATCCTGGAGTCCCGGGATCGAGTCCCGCATCGGGCTCCCTGCTCAGCAGGGAGTCTGCTTCTCCCTCTGACCCTCCTCCCTCTCATGCTCTCTGTCTCTCATTGTCTCTCTCACAAATAAATAAAAAAAAAAAAAAAAAAAGAAACTTTCAGTATAGCCCACCCTTCTTGAAAAAAGAAAAAATGTTTCCCATCTCAAGTATTCAAATGATGCTTTACCTTTGTGTCATGGTGGGAATTTAGAAGTAAAGATGATCCGAGTTATGTAATCATAAAGGCATTAAACATTTAGGAAAAACTACAAGAAAAATGCCTCTTAGTTTGCACAATATCTGCAATAAAGCAAAAAGTAACTCATAGAAACTATGAAAGTAAAAAAATTTGAAAAGTTTCCATCAAGCAAACAAGAATACATGGAAATTCTAACAAAAAATTTAGTAAGACTAAAAACAGTATCTACTATGTATGCCATATCTCACTGACCCTAAGTTACATTTTTCTTCCTTTTTTAAGATTAATGAACTAGGAATACATCTTAAAATTGATAGTGTCTTGTAACTGATAATTTTTTCTTATGAGTCCATAAAATAGAGGTATTTTTCACGGAGATATCTTATGGTCAATGAATATGATAGTACACATTTCATATAAAATATTCTCTTTATTTTAATATTTTGACAAAATAAAAAATAATTAGGAACGAGGCATATATGTGTACTACACCAAATTATTTACTGTTGTTCTAGGGATGCTACCCATCACAATCAGATAGGAGAGAAAAAAAAGAGGTATAAAAATCTGAAAGGGAGAAGTAATGTGAAATAACGAGCCATTTCTACAGGAGACCGCTGCCAAAAAGTGACTGGGTACAGGTGCATGTGTGTGTGTGTCAGTTGGGATTAGAGGGAACAAGGATTCAGTGACATCACAGATACATAAAGATTGTTTTGTAAGAAGATATTGTTAGGCTCAGATGCTTTCTAGGTTTCTAAAGAGCAGAAGTAGTGTAGGAGGAAGGTCAGTATCAAAGTTTCAAAACACTACCTTTAAGGGCCACATGGAACACTTATGAAAACTTATTCTATTGGCCCTGAAGAGCAAACTCTGTCTAGCGCTCGGAAGAAAATAATGAAAACAGCCTAACAATTACAGTGATAAGCATTAGCCTCAATACTTTACTTTTATATATAAATTACATATATATAATTATAAATTGCATGTATATTAGAGAAATTGTGTGCGCACGTGCGCGCACGCACACACACACCATTGTAAATTTCAAAAAACAAACAAACAAACAAACAAACCAAAAAACCCTGCTTTAGGCATTATTACCCTATTTTGGCAGGAAAGGAAACTGAAGTAGCAAGATGTTAAGTAACAGGCCCAAGATTATTAGTTTCCATGAGTATTTGACTCTTGACAGAACCAACATCGGCCCTCAGGAGTTTAGAGATCTCAGGCTGCAACCAATGGAACTGGGGACTACCTCCTGCAGGACTTACAAACACCGGGCTCTTTGTTTTAGAGGCTCAGTTCTCATTTTACAGATACAGAAACTGAAGCACAAAGAGGTTATATGATTTTCTCTAGAGTAAGACAATGAATCAGTTACAAAGTTCAGACTAGGATCAAGCTCCCTAGTCCCAATCCTTACCACCAGGCACCAGCTAATCAAAGTAAGTGTCCGGGAAATTCCACCACAAAACAGAAGAACACTGTAAGTATTGCCTCCATTATTAAAACATCATTCCTGTTACAAAAATATTATTGCTTTTCTTTTAGAGTCTCTCAACCAAAATGCTTCAGCAAAATGCACTGTTGGAAAGGAGAATTTTAGTTGTTTATTTTTTGGCAATTTATGATTCAGTTTTCCAGAGTTGAGATGAGTGGACTGGTTGCAAAGAAATGGGGGAAGGGGGATGATAAAGGGAATACACTAATTTTAAAAGAAAAAGTAAGTTTTATATTTTTTATTATTTTTAACTACCATGAGACTTCAGTTATGGGTAATGAGCTAGCTACTTTAACTTCTACCATCTAGCTTCCTGGAAATCAAGCCAGACCCTAATATTATGCACCATTCTGAAAAACTTTAAATTTCCAAACCTATTTTCACTTCTCCAAAAGGAGGAATACTTGTAAGGATATCAAACAGAGTATCGGGTGCCTGGGTGGCTCAGTTTGTTAAGCGACTGCCTTCAGCTCAGGTCATGATCCTGGAGTCCTGGGATGAGTCCCGCATCAGGCTCCCTGCTCAGCAGGGAGTCTGCTTCTCCCTCTGACCCTCACCCCTCTCATGCTCTCTCTTTCATTCTCTCTCTCTCAAATAAATAAATAAAATCTTAAAAAGAAGACTATCAAAAATTTTTAAATTTACCAATTTTCAAAATTCTTTGGCTTTACAGAAGGCATGTAATTCTGTCAGTAAATTTTCTCTTTCTCTCACACTTCAAACATGAAAAAGGGAGGAAGAGGACTCTTAATTACTTAAGTCAAAATTTCTACTGTTTGTTTAAAAATATTTTTAAATGGGTATTTACTTAATAAACCATAGTTCATCTCAAAATTAGATTTTTAAAAAACAGTCAAATATTAAGTGAGCAGAAAATATACTGAAATTCTTGACAAATGATAATAAGAACATAATAAATAGTCAATATGCATTTTTTACTTTAAGAAAAATATATATTTATATTGAAGAGTAAGTGAAATGTGTACTTCACAGTTATGATAAATGCCATTTAGGTAGTACATACTTTAAAATTAGTGTTACTTATTGTTCATTTTCAAATTTGATCTGTCTTCATTTTATACATTGTATGTTCCTAGAAAGATCAATTTTATATTGTACTTTTTGCTTGAACCGTCTTCATTCAAAATCACCATTATAATTGCAAAGGGAGGCTTCACCTGAAAATGGTATAATAAATCACACTTAAGAATCTCAAAACCTACACTTAAATGTATTTTGTCCTTGTCAATCCATAATCTGTGTTTTTTTAATTTCTCCACCTAATCCAATACATAAAACAACACCTGCCCAAAGACTCTCATATCGCCTGAGATTCAATTTCAAAAATTACTATTTG